ACGCCATGCCAACGGTGTACCACAAATTGACCGACTGCGGCTCGTTGCTGCCGAACAGGCAAAGCAGGGAAAGACAGCGTATGCAGTCGAGGTCATCAGCTGAAAGCACCGCGTCAAGATCACGCACAGCTGCCTCGAAGAAGACCTCGTGAGCAACAGGCGCGTCTGAACTAATGCGTGCTTTTTCTGATGCACCAATCGCGAGAACCATGTGTACTTCAAACGCTGACAATCTGCTCCTCACTTGGCCGTTGCAGTATGGTATGTAATGCTGCTCCATGAACGATGGGCGATGAAGGACCGGGTATTGCGGCCATCGACGATCGAAGAATACTTCAATCAGGCTGAGGCCGTCTCGGTGAAGCGAGAACGTGTTTGACGTGGCGGTCGGAGGCGTCTCACTGGCTGACAACCCATGCCACAACTGCCAAGGCCCCGTCATGAACCCCGTCTCGGAAGCGCCATTAGGTCCCAATCCCCTAAAAGTTGGCAGAAGCATGCGTCCAACATATCCCCTCTCCAAACTCCCAACCGAGCCATCGGGTTCTTGGCGATCGACGACAGATCTTATCTGCAGATGCTGACTCTCCTGAGACCGAGCCTCCGAGGGCAGTCTCGATTGCATGGCGAGTTGTGTCTGCAGCTCATTCACCCGGTCTTTCAGGCGCTCTACCTGGCCTCTCAGATGGTCGCACTCGCATTCCCTGTCGACCTTGACAACGAGACGATCTGAGGGGACACAAGGAACATTTGCAGCAGCACAAGCCCCGCATACGGGATGTCTTCCGTCACACTTTCACACAAAAAAGTCAGTTCATTATGTCGTCGTGAACCCGAGAAGATGTGGTAGCACGTACTTTTTGTTTTCTTCGGCGACATCTCTGGCACGCTGCCGATATCCTCTTGAGGCCACGACGCGGCGATCTTATCCGGTCAGTGTCCCTGTCTGAGTGCGTGTCGTAAGCTGAGGCCGATTCGAACACGGCGGGAAGTTCTCCATCATCGGTGGCGGACATTTTCGGATTGGTGTCTTTGGTGATGATGGTTTATTAAGAGGGATGAAATTGTTAATGCGCAAGAGTCAGAAGTGACCCACTTTATCGATAAGAACAATCTATCTCCGGTTCAATGCCGGCATAGCCGATGCTGAAAAGATGGATCTTGCTGAGCTTCGGCCGGATTCGGCCCTTATGCCCGGCCTTATCTCGCATGTCGTGATTGAAGCAGACAATGGTCTTGTTTTGTAGTGGGAACAACTGATATTCAGAGTTTTCTTGGTGTTTAGATAAGACTCTATTTATATAGTGGCTACACTATGTCAACCCGGTGAGAATCGAGGCTCCGATATTGACGTCATTAATTAAATGAAATCATTATCTGAATTTATTAAGACTCATCTGGTGTTTTTCTTTTAATAATAGTTGCTTAATAAGAAAGACTCTAACGCATAAGTTACTGTAGACAGTTTCTAGGTGGAAGAGTTAGCTTGTTAGCTACTTTTCACTCAACTGTCCCGCCATGTTCTTTTTCTGGATGACATCAATAACTCAAAACCTCTCAACTTGAGATCAATAAATATCTAGGTCTACTTCTGTTTAGGTCCAAGGACAAGATCAGTAGTATAAGCACAACTTATCTATTACTCTCATTGTAACATCACCAATTCACCACGTCAATTTAATCTGTTGCAAGGTAATAAATAACAAAAGTTCGCCTTATGAGACTCCAGGGTACGTAAAGCCCAGGACGGACTGATGTCATTTCTCCAAAATGCACCCAGTTGAACGAGCCCTCAAGCGCAAAAACGGAGCCGGCACGTGGAAAAGACTCACTATTGCTTGACGTCGATGAGGCTGAATGGATCAAATAAGCTACTGGCGCGGTGAACCCAGCAAGAGACTCAAGGGTCCTCTCCAGTCATGACTCCACTCAATCGAGCTTCTCATTATCTCAGCAAGCGAGCCCTTGTCACCATCTCAACGCGGTCAAGCTCTTCAGTTGGCGACCATCCCCCCAGCCAGTGAAAACACAGCACTTGTACTTACTCCGTACCCCGCAAACAGCACTATCAGTAGCCTAAACCGAGTCTACGGGTGTAAAGCTTATCACCTACGGAACCCCATCGGAAGCCGGTGGGACGCCCTCTCATCGCCCTTATCTCTACGGAACGCCCCCCAGCCACTGTCACAAACATCCCCAAACCACCACAGAATCACAATGCCTCGCCCAATAGTTCCAGCGCACCAACGCCAAAGAGCTGCAGAAGCCTGCAACTTGTGTCGCGAGACCAAAAAGAGATGCAGTGGCTCTGCGCCCTGTACGCAATGTGTTCGTCGCGGCCTTGAGTCGCAGTGCTTCATCACCTATGCTCCGAGGGGGTCGAGAACAAGAGCTCGCGCTGAGGCTGCAAAGGCGGCGGCGGCGGGATCAGTTACTACGGAGCAGATGAGCGCGAGTTCGCATCAGAGCAGTCAGCCGATGGAGACGGATGAGGGGTATAGACCATTGTCGCCGTCGCATTCGCAGCAGGATGATGAGAAGGACAGTCAGACTGAAGCGTCGAATCCACCACGGATGCTGCTGAACTCGAGGGGCGAAAGAGGTATGAAAGTCTGTCACATTTGTCGATGAGATGCTTATTTGTTAGTTTATATTGGAGGCGCAGCATCAATCTCGTTTCTGCAGATTGTGCGAAATTTGGTATCCCAACAAATTGGACCATCGGCATTTTCTCACAATGAGAAGAGCGACACGATGCTTGAGATTGAGTCGCCAACAGCTACAACACACGATGAGACGAGCGCGATGAGATTAAGTCCCGAGCAGAAACAGCAATATTTGAGGTCTTATTACGTAGTGGTATGTCTACACCAACAATTCTCGAGCATATGCTGATGAAAGCAGACCGAAGCGTTAATCCACGTCTTTGACGCGTCGGAATTCGAGACTCTCCTCAATCTAGACGACGACACAGGCTACTCTCCCTCTCCCAATCTCTCACCCCTCAAACAAGCCTCAATCGACCTAGTAATCGCAATCGGCGCTCAATGCGAGTCCCTCCTCGCCGCCCGAACAATAGGCCAAGCATATTTCCGCCGCGCTCGCAGCCAAGCATTCGTCGGCTTCCTCGAAGATCCAGACCTAGACATGGTCCGCACATTCCTCCTCATGGCCTTCTTCATGCTCGGCGAGTGCAGGAGAAACGCAGCGTTTATGTATCTCGGAGTCGCTGCAAAAGCCGCTCTCGCTCTGGGTCTGCATAGCAGAGAGTCTTATGCTGCGAAACCAGGACCGGAGGATCAGGCAAAGTAAGTTTGGGCCTTTATAGTGATCGGATATGGCTAATTGGTTAGGCTGCGGGTATGGATGAGCGTGTGTATCCTTGATAAGCTTGTTAATTCGCTTCTCGGCCGACCATCCGCCTCTGCCCAGATCCGATCGAATAGCAGTAGTAAATTGGATGACGTCGCGCAGAAGGGCGATAGCATTACCGAGCATTTGATGGCCTCCAACAGAGTTTCCACCATCATCAACGATATTACAGACACTTTATATGACCAGAAGAAGGTCAGTACTGCGATAGTCGAGCAATTCTTGCAAGACATTGAACGCTGGAAACGAGAGCTTCCTGCTTCCGTCAAGATACCTTCGGCAGATCCCAGTCCAGGAACAGTAACGCAACAGCACGGAGCCATTGCCAAGGTTTATGTGTCGTGTCTCTATTATTTGGCCGTCATGCTTGTTTCAAGACCGTTCTTGGTTTCGGCACTTACATCCAAGGGTCTTGGGAAGGGAGCGCATACTCAGTTGGCCGCTGCATGTCTCGATGCAGCCATGTATCTGTCGCAAACATGTTCCGAAGCTCTCAACGCTGGGCTGTTGCAGGGAAACATGTGCATTATGAAGTAAGCTTACTAGCCATCTCCAAAAATCTACATGCTGATCATCTACAGAGCTCTCGTCTTCGCATCAGGACTAGTACTCGGCCTAGAGATATTCGCCAAATACCCTGTGGAATCAGACATCAGTAGCGCATTCGAAGGCGCCAAAGACGTCCTCAGACATTTAGCAACGCAAAGTCCACAAGCAGCACATTATCTCGACATTCTGACAACTCTATCTGGGGCAATTGACAAGCGACGAGCAAACGAAGCATCTAGTGGGAGAAGTCGCTACGTCTCCAAGCTGTTTAGTCTAGATGCACCGCCAGAGACGGCAGGGTCACAATCTGCCCAGCAGATGCTTGATACAATGTTTCCTTTCACAGATGCTCAGACTGGTCAGATGATGGATGATACGATGCAGGATTGGGTGTTTCAGCAGCCTGATGGCGGTGACTTTAGTTTGGACTGGGAGACATTGAATGTGTCGCTATGGGATACGTATCCATTTTTATCGTGAATGAGCTGTCTGTAGAACTGTACGAATTGATGAACCTGTATGAACAATCACCATCTTCAACATCGTCGTTTGTGATAGCCGTCGTGATAATACCGACACCGACATATCACATCCAACCTCCGCTAATCATCGGTACAATTGATCAAATGACTACCCCAGAAAATATCCATCCACGATCCGCAGATCCGCACTGAGTTTCCCGCAAATACTGTACGCGGCAGCTATCAGCAAAACGGGTGCAGTGCATTACCCGACGCTAGCGGATATCGCACCACTTCCGTGCTAGGGACTTCCGCTATCTCTAGATAACCTATCGTGAATACGGAACTTCCGAAAATTACAGCCGCAGGCGGTTGAAGTTGTTGATAGTGGTTGCAGGGCGGGTATGAACTCTGAATGGTTGGCGATCCGGGGTAGATAACGTTTGGACGAGAGGAAGCTAAATAGTGATGGTTGCTCGACTTGAAATCGATTCAATTCATCATCAACAACTCATTCAATACAATAACATCTCATCTCATCCTACACTCACTCAATCTCATCGTCTCATCTCAACTCGACTAGCCATCTCACTAGACTTCCCATCTCACACCTTCACAATGATCAAGGACAACGCCCCCACCATGCCCAACTGGAAGCGTCTCAACGTTGGTGTCATCGGCGGTGGCATCGGCGGCATGTCAGTAGCCATCGCTCTCCGCCGCGCAGGCCACGACGTCACCATCTACGAGCGCTCAGACTTTGCCGGTGAAGTCGGCGCCTCAGTATCCTGCGCCGCCAACGGAACTCGCTGGCTGCACGAGTGGGACGTCGATGTCGCCAAGGGTGACCCCGTCGTTCTCAAGAAGCTCATCAACCGCGACTGGAAGACCGGCGAGCCTGTCAGTGTCTACGATCTCGATGACTACGAGAAGCGTTGGGGTTTCGTGTACAACATGTTTCACAGACAATACATGCACGCTATGCTCAAGGATACTGCTATGGGCGAGGGTGAGGGTACCCCTGCTAAGCTACTGGTCAACCACAAGTGCTCCGCTATCGACTTCCCCACAGGCACTATCGCCTTTGAGAATGGTGTCACTGCCAAGCATGATCTTATCATTGGTGCTGATGGTATTGGCTCTGCTGTTCGAAGGATCCTCGGCATCAACCCCGAGAAGAAGCCCTCTGACCAGAGCTGCCTCCACTGCAACGTCACAACCGAAGAGGCCGTCAAGGCTGGTCTCGTCGACTACTCACAAAACAGTGCTCTTGAGTACTGGGGCGGTCAAGAAGGAAAGTGGGACAAGATCGTCCTCTCTCCTTGCAACGGTGGCAAGCTCCTCTCATACTACTGCTTCTTTCCCCGCGAGCAGGGTGACTACACTACACAGGCCTGGGGATCTGAGGATCTCCCCACCGAGGATCTCCTCAAACCTTATCCCGAGCTCGACCGTCAAGTCTTTGGACATCTTGCCATTGGAAAGGAGATTCAGCCCTGGCGTCTGTGGGTTCACCAGCCTTACCCCTACATCGCCAAGGAGAACGTCTGCCTTCTCGGAGATGCTGGTCACCCCATGATGCCTCATCAGTCTCAGGGTGCATGCATGGCTATTGAGGATGCTGCTGCTCTCGGAATCCTGTTCAGCAAGCGATACTTTAACGGTGATGTCAAGCAGGCTCTGTCTGTCTACGACAAGGTCCGCCTACCCCGAGCTACCCGTGTCCAAGCTGCTGCTGCCAAGGCTGCCTACAACATCAACGAGCGAATTGGTAAGTCACTCGATACTCCATAAACATGATTCATACTAACTGTTTCAGGCTTCTCTGTGAACAAGGACATCTCTACATACAAGGTTGAGAACGAGAAGGAGGTTCTTACTATCGAGGAGATGAACACATATGATATGTACAAGGATATTGAGGAGAAGTTGGCAAAGGCTCAAGGAGAGAAGTACGCTGGTGGCTTCCTCAACGGTCTGCCTCTGGGTCTTGAACTACCTAACGGTGTCATTATCGGTGCATAAATGGGAAAAGAGGAGTTGGGGACATTTTATATCTTAGCTTTGTCATATTCGGTTTTCAAAATGTTAAATTGGTTCATTAGCCTGTCGCCTTCATTGCCTTCCACCTCTTGTCTCCACCTCTACTGCAGGATGATCGAGGCTATAGCTAGTTCACGCCGATACCCCGGACTATGAACCTGTCAAGAACCCCTGGTCCAGCCTTGGATCATGCTAGTGGATATCCCGCGCCACTGGAAAGCCTTGCCTCTAAGCGTCTGGACTCTTCCTGTATCCGGCAAGATCCAGGGGTTTGTAACGGCTGTGATCTGCAAGTCTATCTCAAGTCCAGCACTGACAGCAGCGGGGGCTAGTCCAGAAACTGACTGGCTGTCTGATGTCAGGTACCCGTTCATTAGTTTGCATATCTGTTCCGTAGGATTATGTGCAGGTTGCCAAGGGACACCCTGACCTCTTGAGCCATTACCCAAGCTCTTCATCTCTTTGACGCTCTCTCGCATCTCTAGACACTATATAAATGACATTGAATCCAAGGCACTGTCGATCTTGCTAACCTCGTAGACTATGATATCGTGATCGAACAATTTAATAGGCCAAGCAAGATGTTAGTCTTCTCCGACGTTGAACAGGAGGCTCAACTCGGGCTCGTTTTACTTGAATTGGTACAATATCGAGAAAATGGTCAGGCCAAGTGATGAGATAGTAATAGCGACTTATTTCATATGGACCAAGATTCACATTCCTTCATCCGTCCCCAAGACAGACTGGCTTCAGGATCGGGGAATACTCACGCAACATTAAGCTCCTCTGGCCACCGAACTCGCCTATGTATTCTACTGTGCACAAGTACCAGGGACAGTGCTCTTCAGATCAGATATATACTTGATTAATTTGAGGAGATGAAGACGTCCTGATTTGATGCTTCCCATTGCAACATCCAGATTCTGATACGACATTCCTGCTTCAGCAGCTCAACAGGCATCACATCACTCAAATGCTCCCATTAACTGTCCATCATGATTGAGGAAACTTTATATCTATGAGTCTATTTCTTGTATGCTGCAGCAGCTCCAGTATCCTATCAATCGTTAGCATCACATTTCCCATCCACAGCGAGGTCCTCACCAAGTACACCTGGTAAAACTTGAGCCGATACTTCCCGTCCGCAGCCGTCTTCTCCAGCTCGGCCCTGGCAGCCCACTCGATCTCTGCCGAGCCGCCATTCTTCAGCTGCAAAGCCACTGAACCATGGAGCATGACCTCGTCTGAACCAGCGCCAAACGGGTACACCTTGTTGAGAGTGTGCTTCCGCGACGCAACAGCCTCCCACATTCCCTGTCTCAAGGTGGTGATTTCTACACAGTCAATTAATGCCTGCATTCCTGACGGGAGACTTACCTGCATGACCTGAAGCCTTCTTTGATGCGAGGACAAACGTCGCGTCCTTTGCAAACATGTCTACATACTTGTCGGTCTCCCCGGGAGTGTCGGAAACGGCATAAAAGGCCTGAAGGAACTGGATAACGTGCGGTTGAACCGACTGATCCGAGGGACTCTGCACAGAATACGACTGTTCCATTTTGACGTTTCGTTAAATGATCTTGTGACGATTCTGAATTGCGTTGTCTTCAAAGCTTGTGCGTAGCAGTTTATCTCAGTAAGGTCCGTGACCCTGCTTCCGACTTCCGATAGTGGACTTCGGATCTTCCTTAGTGAGCGCTCCCACCGTAATCAGTGAGTGACGATCGTACCCCGCAGACTGATCGGACCGCGGGCAAATGCCGTTCCTGTTAAGGTTTAGCATTGACGGTGCATTATCCGCTCGTCCAAACGGAATCAACGGAATTTACTGTACGTAGGCGGGTGCATTATCCGGAATGGGGTAATGCGGTCCCTATGGCCGTATTCTATCAAGTCTATAGTTATCGAGTTGAATATATATGTCCATGTTCAACTCCAGATAACAGAATATACTCATCATCAATGCACACTCTCACATCATCTTCCTCCCTTTCACACAAATCACATTCACTATGCTCGGCAAGGTTGCTCTTGAGGAAGCTTTCGCTCTCCCCCGTCACAAGGAGCGAACACGATGGTGGGCTGGTCTCTTTGCCATCGACCCTGATAAGCACGCTGCCGAGATCAACGATATCACAGACCAGCGCATCAAGTACATGAACGAACATGGCGTTGGCTACACAATTCTTTCATACACTGCACCTGGTGTGCAAGATGTCTGGGATCCCAAGGAGGCTCAGGCTCTGGCTGTTGAGGTCAACGATTATATCGCCGATGCCATCAAGGCTCATCCTGACCGTCTCGGTGCTTTTGCGTAAGTCATATGCCACATATTCGAGAGCCTGACTAACAACTCCAGTACTCTCTCTATGCACGACCCCAAGGAAGCTGCTGAGGAGCTCCGAAGAGTTGTGACCAAGTATGGCTTCAAGGGTGCCCTTGTCAATGACACCCAACGAGCTGGTGATGATGGAGACGACATGGTCTTTTACGACGGCCCCGAGTGGGATGTCTTCTGGTCAACAGTTACAGACTTGGATGTCCCCTTCTATCTCCACCCCCGAAACCCCACAGGCTCCATCCACGAGAAGCTCTGGGCCAAGCGCAGCTGGCTCATCGGTCCTCCTCTGAGCTTCGCCCAAGGTGTCAGCCTCCACGCTCTGGGTATGGTCACCAACGGTGTCTTTGACAGACATCCCAAGCTCCAGATCGTTCTCGGCCATCTCGGCGAGCATATTCCTTTCGACATGTGGCGAATCAACCATTGGTTCGAGGATATCAAGAAGCCTCTCGGTCTGTCTTGCAAGTTGACTATCCGAGAATACTTTGCCCGCAACTTGTGGATCACTACCAGTGGACACTTCTCTACATCAACACTTCAGTTCTGTCTTGGAGAGGTTGGAGCTGATCGCATTCTGTTCTCTATCGATTATCCTTTCGAGAACTTCTCGGATGCTTGCACATGGTATGATGGTCTGGCTATTAATGATGTCGATAAGAGAAAGATTGGAAAGGATAACGCTAAGAAGTTGTTTAAGCTTCCTCAGTTCTACCAGAGCGAGGATTAAAAGGGAAACTGGAATTAAATACAATCAAGTAATAAATGCAATAGAATAACAGAACTTTGAGCGTTTTCAAATTGGCCAGAACCCTGGTTAGCTGAATCTGTATCTTGGCCAGTACTCTTATGGAGAGTGCCTTTGATTGACGGGATGATTCTATGAAGGCAAAGGCCATTTGATATTTGCTATAAAGATGATTCAAGCTCAGCAGAATAGAAGCAATGCCATAGATCCAAGTCCTTACGACCTCTCATCCTTGCTCTCCATCATGTCGTTAGGCAACAGAGCTGTTGTGATAACACAACCCAGCATAACACCTCCAGCAAGATACAGCACACTGTTGACATCTCCCTGTCCATTTTCTCCCGTGCGCCCATACAGATGTTGTGCAATCAACGGACTCACAATACCAAACAATCGACCCCAAAATCCTGCAATACCACAGGCTGTCCCGCGGATTGGCGCAGGGAAAGCTTCAGGAGTCCAGCCGTAAAGCACAGCATTGAACATGGACTGGAAGAAGTATTCCATAGTGAAGAGGCCTTCGTTCTTAGCACGCGTGTCGACTGTTGAGAAGAGGATGATGGAGATGCCCATCAGTGCAGCTGACAGTACCATCGTCCACTTGCGGCCAATAGCTGGGATACGGTAGAGTGTTGCACCGAGGAGTACTCCGACAATACCGGGTGCATACGTGTAGATGTAGGCAGCGTAAGTCGATTTGAGACTTACGGATGCGGCACCATTCTTGAGAGCGAGGATGCTTGGCAAGTAGAAGCCTAGATATGTTAGAAATGTTCAATCACCTTCACGCTTCACTCACCTGCAACAGTAAATCCCCAGTAATCCATGATATACGTCAACCATACAAGAACTGTAAGACGAGTCATCTTGGGACTAGAAAACAGCATCTTGTATCTCGACAGCTCAAGCTTAGCCTTTTGAGACCATGCCATGTTGAGCTGCTTTGTTCCAGCTCCCAAAGCAGGAGTTGCACTATTACCACTTCCAAGAGAGCTATCATCTGCCTGAAGTGACTCAAATAGTTCAAGAGTGAGTCCACACTGCTTCTTGTTCACCTGGGCCATATGCTGAAGCGTCTCAATTGCTTGGCTGTCACGACCACGATAGATGAGATATTTTGGAGTCTCGCGGAAGTTAAACACGAAGAAGCGAAGGATAAAGACGGCGAGAGTGATGCCGCCAATTGTGAAGAGAAGATATCGCCATCCCATGTTGTCACCGCGGGAACAGCACCTTTCCCCTGCGTCGGCATTGTTGCATGATACTAGAGGATTAGGTTCGGAGAAGTTGGGAGAACATGCGTAGACTGGGATGAAGCCGAAGGCGATGGCACTGCAGAGGACGACTCCAATTGGTTGGAATACAGATAGACAGGCCAAGAGAAAGCGTTTGTTCTTCCAAGATTAGTTAAGTGTTTTCGGCGAGCCTGGTTGACATACCTGGGGAATGAACTCGAGAGTAATTGTCGTGTCGATGGGAATATTTCCTCCAACACCAAAGCCGACAAACGCTGTCAACACGAGAAAGGTCGTGTAATTATTAGATGCACCAAGACAAAGTCCGAATATCGACGAAATGAGACACGTCAAGTTGAATGCCCAGCGACGTCCTACCAAGTGTCAGACAACATCTCAGCAAAAGGAAAGGAATTCCAGGTAGAGGACCTGCTACGGCGAACGATCCAAGAGCATCATACCAATAATATCCGCCAAAAACCCCCAAACAAACGCCCCCGCCGTAAGCCCAGCATTAAAGCTCGTAGAGATATTCCCCGACTCGTCATTCCCAAAGCCCAGCTCCTGCTTGAGCGGTCCAAGCACGAGACCAAAAGCCTGGGCCCAGAGCAGATCGAGGAGGTATCCGAAGCCGCAGAGACCCCAGATGTACCACTGGTATTTGCCCATTCCTTGGGCGTCGATCTCGCGGTTGATAAGGACGCATTTCTTCTCGTAGAGGGTTAGGCCGTCGAGGTTATGGAGGAGGGGGTTGCGGGAACTGTAGCCCTGTGCGTTTTCGACTTGCGATGAGGGGAGAGTGTCGCCGTCTACTTTGGACATTTCTTCTGAGGAGGGCATGCTGTAGGTTTCCGTGATCAAGGGACGTATTTGCGTAACGTCGCGTTTCAGTTGCCGATAGTGGTGATGGAATGCAAAGATAAAGAGTACGAGAATATCGCCATCGCTATCTGTTCAAGGGATCTGCAATCTCATGTCACACAAGTTCAACTCTAATCAAGCCATCATTGGCCTACAATCAGTATCGTTGATGTCATTTTGTACTGGTGAGGTGATGCTCTGAAGCTTCTGATTGGTCCGGAGCTTCTCCTCAGCCATGCAGTCATCATCTAAACCCGGCTGTATCCTTTGTTTGTCTCGCGTTGGACCAAAGGTAGCAATTTAGGCTATCACGGGGCGAACGGTACGAAACCTAATCTGGTAATCGGTGAATTGTTTCCGGTTTAGATCCGCTCGCGAGACGTATATGTAATGACTCACAAGTTTCTCGGTCAAGGCCCTGACTCAAGGGTAGGTAATGATATTATCAGTATCAGGTGGATGTCCATATTAAGAAGCATTGAATGGAATTATTAGGTACCGCTCGATTGGATAAAACATAATACTGTGAGCAAATTGGACTATTTATATTTAATTCAAGGCAATACATAGAGGCTTGAAACCGACATGTTTGGAGAGTAATCTACATCATGATACTCGCGTAGTTCAATCCGATTTTGATAAGAAGGCAATAAGTTGAATGGAACCAGAACAGCGACTCCACAAGAACATAAACTGACGTTTAATATCCTTCAAAACTTGGCGAGATAATAATCACCAAGCCGATGACAGACAAGGTTTTAAATAAAATTCACAACTATTCTTACAGCTTGATTCGCAGAGTAATTATTTTCCAGCTACATGGAACCTTTGCTCTAGACTTTCCCACATAGAAGCCTATGGATGCACTTTAATCGTGCTTTGGTGGAATGCGGGACGGCATGCAATTCGGTTACCTGGGTTACTGTACAAGCATTACGAGCTTGCAGTGGCATGCGTGACATGTCCAACATGAGTAGTAAGTCAAGAGCCTTAGGAGACTTTCCCATTTTGACAATAAAGCAATTAGCATCCTACGAGGAACATACGAATATCATACAGCCTACAGCGCGTTCTGGCCGACGCGTCGCGCACGCGACACGACCTGGATACGCATCCGATTTCATTAGTCACCGAGATCGATCTTCCCCACCAGATCGAAGAATCCGTGTCTCCAGAGATCAGCGTGGAGACAAGATCTATACTAACCTTACTCTAAGCTCAAATCGGTGCAACCAGCCAAGCAAGGCTTCCACACGAGGCTGCTAATGGCCCACCTGAGTCATTGACGTCAGCACCAAAGTCAAGCCCGTCATGACTCGAATTGTATCATGCATTAATATCAAATTCTCCTTGCAAGAAACTCCTGGTCTGTTAAAGACTTGAGATAATTTGTTAATGATTGATCTTATCATCTATGTCCCAGGAACCGTTTAATACTGATATTGAGCACGACGGCGCAGGACTAATGGCTCAGAACGGAGATAAAGGTAGAGATGGGCGGAAGAAGGTGCTGGTTGTAGGTGCCGGTGCAGCTGGGTAAGTCAAGGTCAACTCAGACTTCTGAAAGATACTGACAAAAACAGCATGTCAACAGCTTACCATTTATCAGAGCATCCAGATAAATTCGACGTGACTTTGATTGACGCAGTTGACTATTGCGGCGGTCAAGCATTCTCCATTCCCATTGACAAAGAACGGCATGGAGCTTCCTGGTGCAACCAAGGCGTCCAAGGAGGATCTTACATCTTCCATCATACCGTCACTATGTTCTCAAGGCAGGGCTATCATGCAGACCCTTGCAACCTACATGTTTCCTTTGGCAAAGACGAGACCTTCTGGAACAACGTATTTCCAACCCAGCTTCTGGTCCGCCATGAAAAGGAAGTTCGTCGCCTGACGTCTGTTCTCAAATTCATGCGCTGGTTTGAGATTTTCTTCGCCTTGCTTCCGCTAAAGCTCGTCTTCAAGCTCTTCTTGTTCTCTGAGGAATTCACCAACACTATTGCTTTGCCTATGACGGCGTTGTTCCTCGGTACTGGCAATGCTACGCCTGAAGTTCCTGCAATTATGTTTGAGAGGTTGTGTACTTCACCGACTTATGGAATGTGGTATCCATCCGACAGAAACACAGTTATCAGTAACAAACCCCCCATGATTGTGTTCCCCAAATTCTCAGAGTTCTACGAGACTTGGAGAAAGGATCTTGTTTCTCGTGGAGTCACCGTGCGACTTTCAACAGAATTGACTGAGATCGTTCAGCGAAACAAGAATGGCGTTGTTGTGAAGCTCAAGCCGAGAACTCCGATGCCCGATCATCATAACCCCAACGGTGGAGATCCCGATGCTCCCGTAGGCGAGGAAAAATACGACGAAATTGTGCTCTGCTGTCTCGCCGACACGGCAAAGAAAGTCCTCGGCAAGACAGCCACCTGGAAAGAAAAGAAGGTCTTGGGCTCAGCAAAATTCAGCGACGATATCACCATCACTCACAATGATTCCGATTACATGAAGAAGCATTACGAGAACTTTTACCGCGATGATTTGGCTGTTGCGAACATCAATGGCACTGACCAATCGGATCGTCTGGCGTTTGCAAAGACAGAGTATCGACCCATGTACTACATCAAGATGTATCCCGAGGATAAGTCCAAGCTGGAAATGTGCTTTGACTGCACGAATTACCAGAGTCAATTCCCTGAAAAGGTACCCTTTGAACAACATGTCTTCCAGACGATTTATCTCAACAAGGACCGGGACAGCAAGCTCTGGACTGATAATGAGATTGCCGAGGATAAGATTATCCGAAAGGACTGGTGGCATCAGCTCTGTCACGGCTACACTCACTACCTATTTGTCATTCCGTGGATGATGTTTCTGAATGCCAAGAATCACACTCGCTTCGCAGCGTCTTGGACTCTTGTCAACGCTCACGAAGTAGCCGTCATGTCCGGAATTGCGGCTGCAGTGGATCTCGGCGCCAACTACCCTGAAGACCTGGAGAACGACAAGTTTGCATTCTTGTGTTTCCGACTCTACTACCTTCTAACATACGGAAAATGGTACAGGAGACATTTTACGTCCAAGAAGTATCTAAAGTCCCAGACTACGGAGAGTCAGGCAGCTGCTGATGGGAAGAGTTGGGCTACTGGACTTTATGGCAGTGTTTATAAGGGACCTGGTGTTTCGGAGGTGGAGAGGAGTGCCTGGAGGGAGGAAATCAAGAAGGGTTCTAGTACTGGTAATTTGTCCTGAGTGTATCGAACGAGAGTGCTAGTTAGTTGAGGTAGAATATGAGCCATAGCGTGTGTTTACTCGTGTCAATGAAATGATTGTGACGCTACTTACTTCTCGCAACTGTAATCGTCACATGCAGCTTGTCGTTAGCACGTGTTCCCTCGTGTTGGGGCCTATGCTGTGCCCTATGTTTGCTTGGCAGGGGTGTCTGTCTTCCTATTGCGTGACTTTGGATGGCTTCAGACCCCGGACAATTCTCTAATCACTTTCTCTTTCCTAAGCTCTCATATAAAATGGCACTAAACCGTTCAGGCAGAGAGACATAACTAAGTAGATAGTGTATCTGTTCAGTTAATTCCTCAGATCTCATTTATTCCACAACGGGTAGACGGCAACTATTTCATGACACATCGATCGTGACAGCAAATCGTGTATGCATGAGGGTGAACCTTATAAATGATGGAAGGATTGAGGGATTCTAGAAGACTGCTGGTTTCACAGTAGTAATGTAGGGTATGATCGTCCTCCATGCCATACAGAGTAGAGTCTATGAAAATAAGCACTGCAGCCGGGCACCAGCATGCGAGGGACTTTTGTCACCCATGTCGACGTACAAAAGGCCAGATCCGAGGTAAGAACTGACTAGGAACTAGCCCGAGGAACCCGTCGCCTGTCATATTCACTACCTGGCTGCTATACAAGACTATGTGCACTGTTTCGTCTCTGACTGGCCGGAGCAAGTCTGGGTATAAGCCTTGGAAGATTGCAGATCATGGTGGAACCAATCATTTGGGGGTTCTCAGAAGAGCTAGAAGCTCGCAATCCCCAAAACGCCACCCTCGGTTGGGGGGGGAGAGCTGCAAGGGTTACCTACTCCAAGTTCAAGCTCGACAGATTGACTTGCCACAAACAGCAGTTGGTTGCTGTGAGATCCGTGGTGTTCTGGCGCCACTGGCTTGCATGAGTGGTGATATAGTTCAATTGAAGGCATACTCTATTTCGACACCTGGCCAGTTGACGACTCAGACATCTTACGACGAAGCTTACGAGCTTGCGGGATTTGGCTTCGATGACTGTAATCAACTCTGCTATCTTCAGAACGGGGCAAAAAAAGATATAAATCACTATCATCACACGATCCATCGTTCATATCTAGGTTCGCAATCGCTGATGGATACCAACGGCAATCTAGGTGGATTCATCACGGGAAGGCCGCGCCTCTCATCGTCGTCGTTATGATCCTGAACGATAAATGCGTGGTCAAGGCTGTGACACTAAGCAACATGGGGTTAACCACCAAAGCTGGAAATGGTCACATGGGTCATGGGGTCATTTGGCGCCGCTTATACTCGGAGAAAGTCTCAGAGAGGGGGATTCGTGTCTTCAATAGACTTCAATACTTTATTCGGCCCCTGGCGAGGAGAACCCCAAGTTTTTGCGTGCTGCGTGCTGCGTGCTGCTTGCTGTTCTTGTAGGATAAGTCAGCGAGATTCATTGGCATCCGGAAGCCCGGCACCAGCTTATCTGCGGGTATGCAGATACCTTCCTAAAGCGGTAGGTCGGGGACCCGTTGGTGGTTGTTGCGGGGCCCAAGATTTGGAGCTATCAGTGATAGTGATAACGTAGATGGGTCGTGATTTGCTGTCCAAGGTTGCAGTGGTGATCCTAAGGAACTGTTCTAGAACAACCGCCCGCACGAGCGGAGGCAAAATGGCACCATAGCGCGCTAGCTATGACCGTTTTTGCGACGTAACAGGAGCTTCAGCGGCAGATATGGTACACGGGTCAGCACTTTGCTCTAGACCTGGAAAGGCTAATGCTCCTTTGCACGCACCAAGGGCCCCATCGCATGACCAGCCTGTCAAAGTTCATGTTTGGAGAGACTCTGGGGTAAAGAGGAGCTGAAGCTCTACTCGTTTAAAGTTCGTTGGAGAAAAGACTGTTTCCCCCCCCCTGCAAGTGACCACTGTTCGGGGACGCCAGCCCAATAGAAGTGAACCAGTCGGCTCTGCCTATCTGTAGAGCTCCAGCGCTATCTGGAACGGGCGTGGCGCTGGACCCAACAAAAGGCCGTGGCGAGCCCTGGGACCATGTCCTTGATAAGGAGGTCGGGTTGGTTGTATTTTTGTCTTCCGTGTTGGTATGGTGGTCAGATTGTAAAATGCTAGAAGGATTGCAGGTCGCTGACAGGGCAAGTTTTACCAGTAGATTGGTCCACGCCGCATGAAGCATCACGATATCTAAAACGAATGCAACGTGATCTGAATGTGTTGCAACGCCAAAATGCATTGTACATACACATCGCCAAGAGTGACAAGAGATTGCCAAGTCGGCAGCCAAGATGCGCCCAGAGATGTCAAGGAAACACGGGCGACAATTGAGTGTGGCAGCCCCAGGGTGCCTGAACCTACTGTAGACTACCGGTACAGCACAGCACAGCAAAGCACAGCAAAGCATGGACGTCGCATTGGAATGTCTCGTTTTAATTGCAGAGACAAGGGTTCTAGACCAATACCCTCCTAGCCCCCTAGCCCCCAGGCCCCTCTCCCCCTTCTCGGGGGAGGAGATGATATCGAGAAAGAACCCCGCCGAGCCCATCCACTCTTTAGCGTCGCAGCTGAAGCTTATCTTAAGCTTGTTCAAAGCTGCCTAGCGTCCCTGTTGGTCTTGGCACATAAAGACACTTGAGAGCCCAGGTTCTGCTACACGCTCTCGGTTTGTTTTGAGACAGACAGACATCTTCTACACTTTCTCTCTCTTTCCTCCACTGTTTTACTGTACTCGCACAGTAAAAACATTCGCCCAACATGTCGTCGTCACCGCACAAGGATGAGGCGAATTATGAGACCAAGGACGAGACTACGGTCACGGTGCCTCACGATGAGGAGCAGGGCACGACCTCGGGCGAGGGCCAGCTCAAGCGTGATCTCCGCGGTCGACACATGCAGATGATTGCCATTGGTGGTGCCATCGGCGCTGGTCTTTTCGTCGGTTCTGGTAGTGCTCTTCACAAGGGAGGTCCCGCGTCGCTGGTAATTGGTGAGTAAATCCCTAAAAACGACATTTCGATTGACGAACCAATTGCTAATTAATTATCGCAGGCTGTAAGTTTCTCTTCCTCGCCCCGCTCGATGTCGCGCAATAACCAACACGTAATCTAGATCTCATCATCGGTGTCATGTTGCTCTGCACCAACCTCGCCCTCGCAGAAATGGCTGTTCTGTACCCCGTCAACGGTGCCTTTTACACCTACATTGTCCGCTTCGTCGATCCCTCTTGGGGCTTTGCTTGCGGTTGGGAATATGCTCTGTCCTGGCTTACAGTTCTTCCTTTCGAGTTGATTGCTGCGTCCAAGACGATTGAGTTCTGGCGCACTGACATCCACATGGTTCGTAGATTTCTTTTTAATGATCTGCCTTGGCGGCCTTGGCGATGCCCGTTCGTCTTGGCACATGCACCTTGACGTTTTGACAGGTTCAATTAGCTAACATGCTTCGCTAGGCTGTTTGGGTCACTGTCTTCCTCGTCGCTCTCACCATCGTTCAGATCTTTGGTGTCCGTGGTTACGGAGAGGGTAAGCTTTCGTCACCATCGTCTTTCTTGTGTCACCACTAACGCATCGCAGTCGAATTCGTCCTGTCCGCCATCAAGATCTGCGCTTGCTTGGGATTCATCATCCTCGGTATCATCATCAACTGTGGTGGTGTCGGTAATCAGGGCTACCTCGGCACCAAGTACTGGGACAACCCCGGTGCATTCACCAACTTCAAGGGCTTCTGCGCTGTCTTTACCATTGCCGGTAAGTCTTGACCACTGCTTCGATTCTACAATGACTAACGACTCTAGCCTTTGCCTTCGGTGGTACTGAAATGGTTGGTCTCGCCGCCGCTGAGACTGCTAACCCCCGCAAGTCTGTCCCCACTGCCTCCAAGCAGGTCTTCTGGCGTATTGCTCTCTTCTACGTCATCAACCTCTTCATTGTCGGAATTATTCTCCGATCTGATGATCCTCGTCTCCTCGGTGCCTCTGGCGCCAACACCAAGGCCTCGCCTTTCGTCCTCGCCATTCAAGATGCAGGTATCAAGGTTCTGCCCTCCATCTTCAACGCCGTTATCACCATCTCCGTCTTGTCCGTTGCCAACTCGTGTACCTTTGGTTCAACCCGTACCATGCAGGCTATGGCTACCCGTGGCCACGCTCCCAAGTTCCTTAACTACATTGATTCCAAGGGACGTCCCCTCTGGTGTGTCCTTATTCAGCTTGCTTTCGGTCTCCTGGCCTATGTCGGAGAGGCCAAGAATGGAGGTACCGTCTTTGACTGGCTTCTGGCTTTGTCCGGTCTTGCTTTCCTCTTCGTTTGGGGCACCATCTGCCTGGCCCACGCCCGTATGCGAGCTGGTTTCAAGGCCCAGGGAATCAGCCTGGACCTCGTCCCTTACAAGACTCCCTTCGGTGTCTGGGGCAGCTACCTCGGCGTCTTCCTCAACGCCATTGCTCTCATTGCCACTTTCTACTCTTGCCTCTATGTAAGTTAACCTAGCCAACGTGATGTGATAATCTTGTACTAACATAATCAGGCTCCCGATGGCTCTCCTCCCGATGCTGAGGCTTTCTTTATGGGTTTCCTCGCAGGTCCCATCATTCTCGTCCTGTACCTCGGTTACAAGATCTACTCTCGCGACTGGAAGTTGTATGTCAAGGACATTGATATGGATCTCCAGACTGGCATTGTCCTCCTTGATGAGCCCGAGCCCCAGACCCCCTGGTCATGGAAGAACGCCCCTAGACAACTCCTCTCGGCTGTTATCTAGATATCTTGGCAATAATTGTCCTTTAAATAGTTTGCTCCGGGGCACAGTAGTTTAAATCTCATTCAATATACCTCCGTCTTACTGTCCTCAATGTCATGCTACCCCAAATCCATTTGACCGCCAACAACAGAAGCGACCGAAGGATCAGAATCGGCTATTATGTGAATTTTAATTCCCAATCTTCCCCAGCTTTCCCCGCAGATCGACTCGTGTTATTTCCCCTTTCGGATTCTTGCCTTACGGCCCTGCACTGCTACAGGCGCGCATATTTCGCAGTCTTACGTTCCATCAACCCATTTCCCGCCTTTAGCCTGAGTTGACAAGGTTGCGAAGCGCCTTCAGGCTAAAGGCAAAACTGTCCCCATGGGGAAAAGCGAGGTTGGCAATGTTTCACTCAAAGTGACAATAATGCATAAAAATCACAAATGCCAGTCGGATATTGGATAACTTTGTCGCTTCTATTCGGCCCGTTACATCGTGTATGCCTCTTGAATTAGCCGAAATTGATTCGTTGCTTGTCATGTACTGGTAATACAGACTCATGGATGATACAAGGATTTATCCTGCAGCCTCAAACTGCCGGGTGAGATTTCACATATAGATACAAATGCAACAGCACATCGCTGCAGTGATTTCCCTCTGGCACTCAAAGCAGTTGCATCGAGTCCACTGCGACTCTACCCTTTCCAACCCACAGACAGCCAAGACCGAACGAAACAGAGTCAACATGGGTGTCGCAACGACTACAGTCGGCACTTACGATGCCGCCCTCCAGAGGCGCCAGGCGCTTATGGGTAACAGTGGCGCGCGAGCCTTTGTCAAGAACTGGAAGGTCGCCCGAATTGCCATGTTCGCCTGTATTGGAGGTATCCTCTACGGTTACAACCAGGGAATGTTCTCGGGAATTCTGACAATGGATTCTTTTGAGAGGCGTAAGGATCCTCGTCCTGTATCTCATCACTGCTGACCTGTCTAGACATGGGCGATTATGTCGAGAACAAGACCAAAAAAGGTTGGCTCACGTCTATTCTTGAGCTTGGTGCATGGCTCGGAACTCTCATGTCGGGTGCTATCGCCGAATTGTGCTCCCGTAAATATGGCATCTTGATCGCGACCTGTGTCTTTATCGTCGGCGTTGTCATTCAGTCTACTGCCATTCAAGCTGGGTACCAAGTCATCCTCGCCGGACGATTCATCACGTACGTGTGTAACTCCCAGCACACTTCGATCCAAGCTAACATCTATAGTGGCATGGGAGTCGGTAGTTTGTCCACCATTGTTCCACTTTACAACTCCGAATGCGCTCCGCCGTATGTGACGACCGACGCTACTGATATTCTGAGGCTTACAGTGTCATAGTGAGGTTCGAGGCGCTTTGGTCGCTCTGCAACAGCTCGCCATTACTTTCGGTATCATGATCAGTTTTTGGATCGACTAGTAAGTCTCGCACTCGTTCAGACCATCTCTCTACTCACAATCAACAGTGGCTGCCATTTCATCGGTGGAACTGGAGAGACCCAAAAGGACGCTGCCTGGCTCATCCCCATCTGCCTCCAGCTCGCCCCAGCTCTCATCCTGCTCGCCGGCATGGCGTGGATGCCCTTCTCGCCTCGATGGCTGATCCACCACGGCAGAGAAGAGGAGGCCCGACAAGTCCTGGCCAACCTTCGAGATCTACCCAGCGACCACGAACTGATTGAACTGGAATTCCTCGAGATCAAGGCTCAATCGCTCTTCGAGAAGCGAAGCTTGGCTGAGAGATTCCCTCATCTCCAAGCGGAGACAGCAATGAACACTGTCAAACTCCAATTCGTTGCTATCGGTGCCCTCTTCAAGTCCAAGGCCATGTTCAAGCGTGTCATTGTCGCTACTGTGACCATGTTCTTCCAGCAGTGGACCGGCATCAACGCTGTAAGTCTTTGCCACACCAACATGCATCTAATTAGCTAACAGAATCAAGATCCTCTACTACGCCCCTCAGATCTTTGGCCAACTTGGTCTCAGCAGCAACACCACCAGTCTCTTGGCCACCGGCGTCGTCGGTATCGTCATGTTTATCGCTACCGTTCCTGCAGTCTTGTGGATCGATCGACTCGGCCGTAAGCCTGTCTTGACTGTCGGCGCTATTGGTATGGGTGCTTGCCATCTCATCATCGCCGTCATTCTTGCCAAGAACATCGACCAGTTTGAGACTCACAAGGCCGCTGGCTGGGCTGCTATCTGCATGGTCTGGCTGTTTGTCGTCCACTTTGGATGTGAGTCTACGCTCAACTCTCGTTTGCGGGCTCATGCTAATTATACTAGACTCTTGGGGTCCTTGTGCCTGGATCATCGTCGCCGAGGTCTGGCCTCTCAGCACGCGACCTTATGGTACTTCGCTTGGTGCCTCAAGTAACTGGATGAACAACTTTATGTATGTGACGTGACGCGGTATTCTTTGTGCTAGCTAACGTTGATCAGTGTTGGACAAGTCACACCAGATATGCTGGAAGACATCACATACGGAACCTATATCTTGTTTGGGTTACTCACGTGGATCGGTGCAGCTTTCATCTGGTTTGTTGTTCCAGAGACCAAGCGCCTGTCACTCGAAGAGATGGTACGTATCCCTCCAGCTTTGGCAACACAGCTGCTGACTGTTCTAGGACATCATCTTTGGATCTGAAGGAACTGCTCTTGCTGATAACGAGCGCATGGCCGAGATTAACCGTGAGATTGGCCTCGAGAGTATCATCTACCGAGATCAGTCCTCTCACCACGCAGAGGTTCCGGAGAAGGAGATGCTATAATCGTTTGAAGGAAGGGTTGCGGATACTGGTTGTCTATTGATTCCTCGATGACATTGGTGATGAGCTTTTCACACAGATTGGATATTCAGAATAGCTATTGTCAATTGAGTCTTTCACCCATATTTTATTCAAGGCTCACAGACTTCCCGTTATCCACACGTTTGAATGTCTTTCCTGGCCCAGAACCATGTGTCCAAACGTTCCATGAATCAACAACAGCCTAAACCGTATTACTGATGAGACAGGGGAGCCATTGTCCTCAATGTCATTGAGAATGCTCTTATGCTACGCGTCAACTGTACTTGATACCTCGACTCACATACCCAGCCCGTGAACAGTCCTGTTGAGTAGAGAGGCAACGTACTCTGGCTTCCTTCTAGCACATTGCCAACACGTAGAATTCTCACAAGATTGGTACATATACCCTTTTTGGATAGCCAGCTCTGTTTTATTGGCCCTTGATGCTTAAGCTTAACCGCCATGTGGGCTTTCCACGTGCCTGGTAGGACATCAGGAAGGTACGCCTCCACGACGTATCATGCCACTTACTCTACAGGTTGACACCGAATTGGATCAGGGCATGGTAAATAAACCACAGAGGGAAATGTAAATTTAGTTTTACAATATAACCGCGCTGACGATTTGACACAGAATGTAGGCAACGAGAAGCCACCTCAGCTGGTGGTCAACGCGGTAACCCACCAAGGTCTGTCAGTCTCCTGTGGGCAGCTACCTTATTATTAGTTTGATGCTTCACGGCAAGATTTTAATGCATCTTTACAAGGAACATGTGGTCAAACTATCTTGCGAGCCTTTGTTTGCCATTGGAATTACGAGGGACTTCGCAACAGGCAAGACATCACGATGGAGCTCATGGGTATAATATGATATTTTGTCCTCGATAAAAACCTCATAAATGCTCATCATTCCAACCTTCCCCTAATACATCCGTTTCAAGCCAAACTAAGCCATGTCAGTGAAAGATGTAGTCCTCCTCCTTCAGTTCGTCAATCTCCCGATCATTCTGCTCATCGACCTTGCAATCTCCCAACAACAACTGATGGCACCAATACATATCCCTTTTGTAAATCGACTCCGTCTTCAACCCACTCAAATTCTCGCCCTCGCGATCAATCTGTTTCTGTGTCTTATCCAAATACTCAGCCTGCTGCTGCGTCATAATCCCAAGAGGCGCTTTTGAACCTTTCCAATCAAGGGCCAGTGGCTTATGGCTTCCACCAGCATAGTGAAAGAATGCCAGTAGTGTTTTACATGAGTGGATGAATGACTCGCTGACGGAAGAGTTTCCTCTTGTGCCGAAACGACTCTCCATTCCATACCAGTCGATGATGTACAGAACCTGTGCGAATTGGCGCTCCATGTTGCTGAGGAGCACGAAAGTCGTGAGATAAATCTCGTACCAATTCTCGCGTTTGTTCTCCATGATTTTTGTCTGTAGGCCTGTGAGGATCCGTTGACGGAGTGGAGTCATGATGTTTTTGATGACAAGATGGTCCATCTGCGTGTCCATGATCGGAGGAATCGGTATCGTACCGCTACGGGGACATTCGAGATCTTGAACTGGAATTTGACCGAGGGTATGCTCGCCGCAGATCATCCACGGGAGCTCAGTCAGTCGGCTTCCTGCCCAAAGACGCAGACCATATTTGACAAGGGAGCTGTTGTGTTGTTCCGAGAACCTGATCGCCTCTTGGATGTTCATCAACGGACTCTTTCCTTTGAGCCGTCTCTGAATGTACACTTTGTACGACTTTTGGTTGTATTCATCAATGACCCTCTGATGTCTATCCATGTCGGCGATGTAGTAGTGCGGTAACTCGAGCATTCGTTGGTTCCCTGCAGAGTCTCTCCATGGATATGAAGTCTTGTCACCAGGTAGAGGCTGAAACTTTGATACAGTAACTTCAACTTCGCAGTCGAATCCTTGGGTCAGCTTGATGGTATGTCGATCGAGGTCGATGTTTAGCTTTGCGTTCATGACGTCTTTGATAGACAGCCATTCATACAGCTTGTTGTCGCGTGTAGAGCCTAAAAGGTCAGCTTGGTCAATCACCGATAGAGAAACATACCCAATCGGTGCAACGGAAGCTCGTGAAGATTGACTCTGATGCATGGACGTTTCAGAATTGTTAGTCTTGAGCATCTGACAATGGTTCATATGGATTCTCTGGCATGATACACTGGCCAGTTAGCTTGATCACTCAAATATCCTGAAACTTACCCGAACTTTCAAGCCGCGACACTTTTCGCAAACACCTCTCTTTCTAGCATTCGCAGTGGCCTTTCGAGCTTCTTCAGTGAATGGACCTCTAACTCTAGTATTCAGTCCAGATACAGTGAATACACCCTGAAGGTTGCCGCCTTGATCGTGTTTGTACTCTGTTTTGGGAGCCTGAATGGTTAGCGAGAACAACACTGATTCAGGTATCTTACAAGATCTGTAGTCAAAACATCTGATCGATCTGGTTTACGGTCTGATCGAGGCTTGCGTTTCTGGGTCTTTGCTGTCCTTGGAGGACTTTGAGAATGCTCACTCGACCCAGGCGGAGTCAAGATCTAGTTGGTGCTCGGTGTGAATCGTATGTCATCTTCTGAAGAGACACTTTGTTGCAGAGTCAAGCTCGGAAACACATGATCCATCGGAAGATCATGGGGCTCAAAGATTTGAGTGTAACTGCGGGGATAGTTCGTGTAAGTCGGGAGGGTCAACAGTGACGGATCCAAAGTCAACTCTTCAGCCACACCAGATTCGGTGGCCGGAACACCTTCAACAGGCTCCACGTCGACGTTGACGCCATCCTTGGGCTCCTCGCGTAAAAGGTCCGAGAGCCAGTCGTCACCATCGAACAAATCCTCCTCCAGATTCTCAATCACTTCAAACCAGTCCACTATCACAGTCAGCAGAGTCAAACACAGACACAGACAAAAGAACCTACCGTTATCAATCATTTTGCTTAATTCAGTAATCGGTACAAAAGGTCCACGCAATAAAGTTGTGGGGTCGGGAACTAAATATTCAGGGCCTCTACCGACTTCCACATCAGGCATGGATCCCGAGCTGGCGTGACTTGTCAGACGCTGTTTCTATCGACTACCATAAAGAGCAAAGATCTGCAGTCTCACCTACCGATTACTCTTTTGAGACAGAAACATTTGATGACAACCACCATTAAAAGACGAATCAACCAGCCACAGTGGGAATTACAATAACCATGGAGCGAACAATCGACCAGGAACTGCGTATGCGACAGGCTACGATTGATGACCTGGACGGCATCACAAAACTTGCTATTGAAGCCTTTCCTGATGATCCAGAACGAGATTACCGATTCCCATATCGCCATGAATACCCTGAAGATCAGTGGAAGTGGACTAGACTCGAGTATGAGGGGTTTTTGAAACAGCCTGAAAGCTATGACATTCTTGTCATAGAGGCTGGGCAAAGGATTGTCGCCCTGGGAATCTGGGATGTCTCTGGTCTTAGTGGTGTCAAACCAGGTATGTCAGCCTCAATTTTCACATCCTAGCTAACAACCCAGTCAAACCTGGTGTTTTGGGCGACCTCCAACGTCGTGATGCAAACCTCCCTCACATGCGCTACTTTGCATCGCGTGTAGAAGAGGTTTATGATATGCATTTCAGTCAATTCGGTAGCAAGCAACTCCATCTTGTTAATCTCGCGACGCATCGAGATTATCGCAGACGAGGTTGCGGAGCTGCGCTTTGTAAATACGGAATGGAAAAGGCAGAGCGCGAGGGGTTTGTTGCTACGGTTTTTGGGAGTCCAATGGGGATCAAGCTGTATACGTCTGTTGGGTTCAAAGTTATTGGGGCTGAACCTATGATCATGCCTGGTGATGAGGAGGGATTGACCACGACTGCATTAGTTTGGGGCAATTAGTAATTGGCAAGAAGTTCATCGGGCGTCAAAGGCTCCAAAAGTGAAACAGGCGATGCTTACCCTCGTCATCGTCTTCAGCTGCCCGATGTCTTCCCTTTTGGGAAATCGGTGACACGATTCAGTAGATGGATAATATCGGTTGTTGCATGGGTCAGCCTGATGAAGTGTAATGAGGGAAAAGCAAGATGAGATGAGAGCCAAACATGTTGATGAGTGAAATGTAAGGCTACGTTGCTGAATTGGGAAATCGGCAGACCTCGAGTCTGTGAATGAGCCTCTTTGTGAATTTTATTAAAGTTGGCGTCTGTTCAAGTGAGATTGGTGATGCATGTTGACGTATTAATCTGTTCGTAAACTCATGTACACGATTACAAAATACGTGAGTATGAGAGTCGCTGAGAGGATGAGAACATACTGACCGCTTAGAACATTATGTCATCAACAAAAGCGCAAGCTGGCTCATTCAGCTCATTCGGAGAAGAGTCTCCCCCAGAGCCTTGTTCAGTCGAGACATTCTGCTTAGATCGATATCTGTCAGATTTTCGTGACAGACCAGTCCAAGAGCGATTACTGGAGAACTCAAACAATGGCCCCCAAGACATTTCGATCGGAGATTTGGATGCTTTCATGAGTTTGCAAGGACCAGCAAATCTAGAGACGTTGATGTCCAAAGGCCCATTTGAACAATAAGTGTTTTGGTCAATTCACTGCCTGGCACTACGAATGTTGCACCAAAATCACGTGGAATCGGTTAATTGCATCAGCCTGCCGCATTCACCTTTATAAGGCTTCTCCTCACCACCGCGAGAATGCGAGGCATGGCTCTACATCAGTCCCATTTTATAGCCTTCATTTCCCTCTTCTCTTTTACACTCTACATCATGTTCACATGGGCAAATCTCCGCCAAATGGTGCCCTTTCTTTCGCAGAGTCGCACTCTGTCCGATCTCCTCACTATTGACGCCAAAAGCCTCGCCTCTGGATTGACGAATGGGCACTTCACAAGTGTTGATCTGGTAGAGAAGAGCTTTGAGATGATTCAGAAGCATGACAAGTACCTTCATGCGATGTTGAGTATGGTGCCGAAAGATCAGCTGCGGCAGAGAGCGGAGGCGCTTGATGAGGAGCGAAAGGATGGCAAGGTTCGGGGGCGTTTGCATGGGATCCCGATCGTGATCAAGGTATGACTTTGTTATCGATGTGTTGCGCAAAACTGACATTCCAGGACAATATCGCGACGGTTCCTGAGCTAGGAATGGAGACGACCTGCGGTTCTTGGGCATTGGATGGCATGGCCCCGACTTCGAATGCCGATCTCGTCGACAAACTCATCCAAGCTGGCCTCATCATCATCGGTAAAGCGAATCTGAGTGTGAGTCTCTCGGTCCTCTGTTTCTGACCTCGCTAACCTTTTAGGAATGGGCATACTACCGGTACGTCTGAAGCTATTCGAATGAAGCGCGACTCACTCCTTTCAGAAGCAACGACCTCCCGAGCGGTTGGTCCGGCAAAGGTGGCCAATGTCAATCTGCCTACGTTCGCGGCGGCATCGATCCCGAGGACAGCAACAACGGTCACAGCGTGAGTACTCCGTGACTCGCCGCATCCCATACTAACAGTTCAGAACCCCTCCGGCTCTTCTACAGGCTCAGCAGTTGCCGTCTCCGCAGGTTACGCCCCCCTCTCCATCGGCACCGAAACAGACGGATCCCTCGTATCACCCGCATCCCGTGCCGCTCTCTACACGATCAAGCCGTCAATCGGGCGAGTTTCTCAGTCTGGAATCATCCCTATCAGTCATACCATGGACTCAGCTGGGCCTATGGCCAAGACACCATACGACCTTGCCGCTTTGCTGGATGTTATCTCGGGGACCGATGAGTTTGCGACTACGGGGGGATCTTGGGATGAGCTGTCGATTGCGACGATCGACTTCAAGAAATGGTGGCCAGGAGAGGACTACCTCAAGCCTGTTGAGAGTGCGACAAAGCAGATGGTAAGTTTGCCTCTGCTTTTCTGGGCTTGCTGACTTTATAGCACGCCGAGATCCAAGCTGCGTATGACAAGATGGAGGAGCTGGCCAAGAAGTATGTCGGCGACGTTCCCTTGCCGCCCCCATCTGAGTGCTTCATGCTTGATGGGAAGGACAGTGAGGGTGTCATCATGAGTGAGTCAATGCCCGCCAACTGACACCTTATACTGACGAAATAGTGGCCGACTTTAAGCACGACCTCAACAAATATCTCGAGTCGGCCGAAAACTCAAAGATCCATTCCCTCAAAGATCTCATCGAGTTCAACAAAGCCCATCCCGATCTCGAAATGCCTCCTGGTATGTGCTCGTCTTGATGGATGACCCCGCTAACCCCCCCTCAGGTTACGATGACCAGGGACTCTTGATCGACGCCGAAGAATCGGATATCTCGCTTGAAGACTACGAGAAGAACCTAGCTCACCTCCGAAAGGTTGCGCGCGACGATGGACTGGACCGCATCTTCAAGGAATACGGTGTTGACGTGATTGTCGGATCAAGCGACACTGCTATCAAGGCGTATGCCAGTGGAAGCGGTATGTTTACTCTAGAATTCATGAGCGACACTGACAATCTCAGGATACCCCGTCGGAAATGTTCCCCTCGGATACCTAGACTTCAACGGTCGCCCTTTCGGCCTCGCTGTCCTCGCGGCCAAGAACCAGGAAGCCAAGATTCTCAAGTTCATGAACGCATGGGAGGCTACTTTCGGCCCGAGAAAAGCTCCGCCGCTGCTTCAGTGAGTGTCGGGTCGAGGATCTTACTGTGTGAGGAAGACAGTGCGAGTCAATGGCTGTCGGGCCTCATTTTATGGTGGTGTTCTGGGAAGTGCTCTCATTAGGTAGAGATGCGTGAATAAAATGATATGAGACACCAGTTGGGACTTGCAGGGCTGTAGTGGATGGCTCAAGCAGGCTGGCCGCTTACTTGCATGTGCGGGGATAACTCGTGAGGCTCTTGACTCTGGCTTTGTGAAGCGAGTTCTTGACGATAAATTCATGAGAGCTGTTTATTTCCCAGTGTGATTTATGGTGTAATTAAGGCCAAGTTACCATGGCAGAAGCAGCTTCAAACGTTACACTAAACGCGCGCGACAAGCCTGTCGAGGTAGACTCCCTGCTATCCAAATCGGCGACCCTCCAATTCTTCGACGCCTCAGATCCGAAATGGGCAACCGAGAAGCCGTTTTACTCAAACATTCCCTTTACTCAGACCAAAATCGCGAATACAAATGTCATCAACACGAGTGCGCGGGTCCAAATCTCTGACATCAGAGGTCATGAATCCGACTTCACTTTGGACAAAAACGGCTTTCAGTTAGCTAAATGGAAGCACCAGTTCCCAAATGTCGGTCCCTTATTTCAAGAAGAGGGGTATCCTGCTGTGGTCAAGTTTATGAAGGATGTTCTAGGGAGTCATGTCAAGGTTTGTGTGTTTGATAATATTGTATGTCTCCTTGGGCTATTCTGGACAGTTCTAATGGGAATAGGTCCGACAGAGCCAACCGCGAGGCTCTGCACCTGAAGATGAGAAAGGGTACATCGGTAGACCCAGCAAGGTCGCTCACAACGGTATGATCCAAATACCTCTATGCTTGACAAACTAACCTCGTCCTCAGACCAAACCTATGAAGGAACAATCGCCAAGATCAAACATGACTTTGGCTCCCAAGCCCCATCAATTCTCTCTCAGCGCTTCAGAATAATAAAGTAAGCCTCCCTCCAAATACAATCCCCTCTAACATCCCAGTGTCTGGAAACCCCTCAAGCCCGTCCGTCAGTACCCCCTCACACTCTGTGATTACCGCACATGTGATGAAAAGGACGGCCATCGCAGCGATTTGGTCTACCCCCACGTTGTGAGTGAGAATATCCTTTTCTCTTACTCATCAGATCAGAAATGGTACTACGTTAGTGACCAATCTGATGAGGAGGTTTGGCTGATCAAGACGATGGATTATTTGGCGAGGACTGAGGATGTTGCCATGTGTAAGTGCCGAGCTCCGTTGAGGGATGTACTGATAATGGTAGATACGCCACATACTTCGTTCTTTGATGAGGACCCTGCTGTCGCGGAGGAGATACGAGAGAGCATTGAGCTCAGGGTGTATGTAATTGGATAGGTATAGAACGTGCAAAATCACTCTTTGGGAAGTCTCTACGAGCATTTGTTTGAATTGATGGAGAATTCCTTTATATTGACTGATCTCAGCCTTAATTACCACCAAGTAAAGCTGTCCTGATCTGAACCTCCTAGATATGCCTCAAGCTCCGTGTCGAATGGAATGCTGACATGCATCTGAAACCTGGAACCGCACGGACAGAAATCTCGGGACCGAAGTCTTCAAGTCACGAATCAGGCTGTGGTTTTATCCAGTTGATTGGCAGATTCTAACCGATCATCCTCACAGAGCCTCAACTGAAGCGGGGTAGGACCTCATCATTGGTTCGAAAAGATCTCATGATCAATTCCATGCAGAGACTACTGCAGACACAAATCCGTTGATTATCTGGGCGTGGGACTCCAATGTGGTTGGACAACATCAGCACAAATGGGTGTACTCCTTTTTCAGTAGCCAATCAATTGCTGATCAGATTTCCCAAGTCTGTGATATCTTGTCCGACTTTGATTGGATGCTCAGATCTGAGGCTCTGCTTCAATGATAGAAGAACGAGTTAGTCGATGTTCAAACTGGTTGTTCACCCAACTTCAACACTCAATCACATTACACTATCAATTCTGCAGGTAGTAGCTGATCCACCCTTCAAGACCTCTTACTGACAACTCACAGACGCAACAATGGAGAGAACTCGTTCACATTCTCGCGGTCGCCCTATCGACGCCGACAAGAAGCGTTACGAAGACGAACCCATGACCCGCGAAAGCTCTGTTGGGGAATGCGATCTCGTCTGTCCCCAGCCAGCCAAGGCTCAGCCCTGGAAGCAGGCTCTTCAAGTTGAGAAAGACTCTGGAACCAATCCACTTCTTAACTGGGAGCCTAACGCGATGGACTTTGGTGAGAAGCCTTGGCTCAAGATTGACTGGTCCAAGATTGAAGGTACTGGACGTCGATATTGCCCTTCAACGCCACGATGCCTTTATTTTTCTCATCCTCCTCCTCTGTCAGCTCTCTCAGCGCCTTAACCTCGTCGCGAGCAAATTTCATAACGTAACAAGCGCCTAGGTTATCGATAGCTGCCTTAAACGCCTCGTAACTAAAAAAAGCTAGCTTAGTATAAAGCTTACTAGGAATATCTTTATATTTTAAAGTTATCTTATTTAAGAAGATAAAGATTTTCTTTTCTTAGCTCTTTAAAGCTATATTACCTTATAATCTAATATTAGCTTATATAAGTTAAAGTACTAAATATAATAAGGAAATTATAGATATAGTCTTAAGCTTCTAGGCTTATTAAGTTATTACTAATAATAGTTTAGTTTACTAAAGTAGTTAATATATTATATATAAAGTTATATTATAGTGTATATATAAAGATATAAAATTAAAGTTAGTTATATCTTTTTATATACTTCTTAGTGTTTTTTTTATAATGCCCTAGGGCTTATAATAAGATTTATTAGTTATTATAAAAGCTTATAAGTAAAAGCTTATATCGGGAAAATAAATATTATATTGTTATTTATTATCTGTATTTGTAGCCTAAAGCTTAACCTCATAGGCCGCAGTCATCCCATAGAAGGTACTGGACCTGGAGGAGTTCGTAGCAAGTCTCCTGATCAGATGTGCGGTTACTCTGTTGGAAACCTCAAGCTTGTTTAAGAGTCTAAAGGCCTGGTTCTGGTCAGACTGTGCTGGATATGAGTTAGTAAAATGAACTTGTCTATTAAGTCGGACTTTGTTATCGCGTAATCGAGCCCGCATTCCTTTGTATTTCCCCTTTTCGGGACCCAATATTTCAAGCCCCTGTTGTTCCTACACTGCCCTCCTGGAGAGGCATTGTATCTCCTTGTCGTTGTCTTCTAGGCAACTTTTGTAGGGTAAGATGTAACGGATTCTGCCGCTGGGCACTCGATTCGTTGTGTATCAAAGTTCAGGCTGCTATCAGCTTTTCTTCTGCTTATCCATAAAACCGACATCTTTCAGTCGAATATTAATTTGCCTGTAGGTACAGATCATGTTGGTGACGCGTTTAGAGCAAGTCTCAGTGGTCCTTTGAACGCCACGTGTATTGGCAAGTGCCCAACTCTTACCGTGCTTTTCGTGCGGGGAGATGAGCCAGTCATAATCCGTCATCAGGAGTTCTCAGCTGCAATATGTCTCAGCCACAGGATGTGTCCTTCTGATCAATCTTACAGTTGCGGGGTTCCGAGGTTCCTTAAATACAATACTGAAGCGCAACCTCCAACATTGATCTCCACAGACTTCTAACCTCGACATTTGATCAGTCTAGCGTCAATGGATGAAAAAAAGTGGGTAGGATTCGAGATAAAAGACCCGTATCTTCGGTTTCCAGTATTACGAAATGTTTTAGACGCTATGTTGCTTGGGGATTACTCAGTAATGGTATGTCATTCCCGAACATTGTCACTACGCCAGCTGATCATTTCGTAGCAAAATGACAGTGGCACAGGCTATATCGTCTTTACTCCCCGAGCTCTTAGCCCTGAGGATGAGGAGAAAATCCGCAAAGCGAGTCGATATCGGCGTATCCTTGAGGAGAACAGAGTGGTCAGAAGGTTTGGAAAAGAAAGTTTATCTCGTGGCCAGCCTTCGCCCAAACCTTCAACAGAAGATCCTGATATCCCCGATACTGATCGAATTCCTTTGTTCGATTCATTAACACAGGTGGTTCCTTTGCTAGAGCCCAAGGTGGATACGATGCCGGATCAAGTCTTGGTAGTCGTTGAAAATGTCGCAACAGACGAGGTACGAAGAACCTTGAAAGGCTTGTATGCAACTCCAATCGCGGATGGCGAGACCTCCAACGTATTCGGGGTGGAGACTCGCTTATCATTAAACGGAAATCATTCCGATTCCAAAGATGTCATTCGAAAGGCATGTCTGTCATAGTTCGGACGCCACTGTATGATGTATCTAACAATATAGTGCGCGGTCAAACGTCTACATGAATCTACAAGCGCTGAGCAGTTCTGGGCCGAATACGAGTCCTTGAAGCGTCTAAAGAGCTTGAATCATCCTCACCTGATAGAGACACTCTCTGTCTTTAGATTCGAGAGGGTTAAAACACAGCATTTCAACTTTGTGTTTCCACTGGCTCTTTCGAACTTGAAGCGTCTCTTCCGCGACTCAGTTGTTCCGGTTCCCCTACGAAACCGAAACCTTGATTCCCTCTGGGGCCAGTTCTCCGGACTCTCAAGCGCCGTTGCTTACCTTCATGACTCCGCTCATATGGCTCATCGCGATATCAAACCGTCTAATATCTTAATCTACGAAGGGTCTGCTGGTATAGGCGTCTCTCTGAAGCTTACAGACTTTGGCTTATCAGTAGACCTGTCTAGAGCCAGAACCTGGGAGCAAGGGAGTCGAGCTCGTCAATCCGCTTGGCTGTATGACTCACCAGAAGTCCGAAAAGCCTCTCCAAGGGCGAGCTTAGCTGAACCAAGCGCTAGAATCAGTATCCCTTCTTCATTGGATTTGATGGCTAACGATATATGGAAATTGGGGTGTGTCTTTACAGAGATGCTTGCATATCTAGTAGGTGGAGGTTCCGTTGGTGTGGGCGCATTTCGTGACTACATTACAACTACAGAAGACAAAATATCTTCTGACGAGTTCAACGACACTCGTTTCGACGATGGCGAGCAGGTCAAATCTCAGGTTCTCGAGTTCATTGACCGGATGGCGTACAAAGATGACCGAGCGGGCATGTTGCAATCGGTAATCAAGGAAATGCTCGCCAAGTCAGCGTTGAGACCTACTATAGCTCTCGTTTGTGAGAATTTAGCAGAGGTTTGTTTGTTGTCAGTCGATGCTTCATAGCTAATGGGTTACAGAACCACTTCCCGAACATCAGCTACAATGACGGAGTAAGAGTGGTTCAATTTATTCCAGCGCAGCGTTTGGTACGCTCACGCTTCAATACCTTAAGACTCAAAATTGAGGAATGGACTGGTCGGCCAATAGATTGGGCCCCGTTTCGCCAACCACTACCCAGGCTGAATGCCGGCGGCTACATGGCAACTTGGAAGGTAAGTTCCGTATGGTTTGCTAATAAGTTGTCTCATAATAATACTTCCTAGTGGCATGAAGTTGATCTCGCTCTAGCTCTTTCCCGGGATGAGTTTCATCGCTACAAAGCAACATGCTTCCCTGTGACCACTAACAATGTTCCCCTTCTCCCTCTTACACGACAAGGTCTCAAGGCACAGCAAGCTGCTAAGCCAAGTTCTTCTACACAACCAGCCAATCTCGGACAACCATCTCAGTCTTCTCTCGGCACCAATACCCTGGCAAGGACAATTTCTTCCGTGGTACTGACGTCCGTAGATACGAAAGACATTTACTGGTGCATTGAGAGGAACTTTACAGAGCCAAAAGAAATATACCTTTCCCCAATTCAGAATGCAGAGGCGCTAGACGACGAACAACTGTATCATCAAGTCAACAAGGCCATTCGTAGCACAGAGGGTTGGATTCGTCGACTCTTCTCATGGAAACGTTGCACCGCAATCGATTTCGTTCAGGTAAGACCAGAAAATGCCCTCATACCACGATCTGTACTGATTTGGCAGTTCCTTGTGATCTGGGAGAACAAAGATCAAGTCAATCCTATTCAAAAAGAACTTCCTCCACCTGCTACTCCATTCTACAACCATTCCGTCCCTTTGCCTCATGATTTTCACATGAGAGCAGCTGGATTGCAAATGGTATTCGGACTGCGTGATCCAAAAAAGGGTAGAGGAGAAACAACCATCATCGATATGCTTCCCAAGAAGAGAAACCCTCCCCCTTTCTCGAAAAGAATATCAGAACCTGGCTGGGGTCTGCATGCCAAGATGGGATTTTCTCAGCGGAGGTTCCTGGCGTGGTTGTGTTTCTATCTTATTTTGGGTGGAATATTTGTGATTTTTTGGTTGCTCTTTATTAACGAGACGGATCTACAGAATGCCTGTATTCCTACTTTTGTTTTTGTGGCTCTACTGACGGTTGCTATGGGATTGCTTCAGGTAGCGTAGGTCTATTAGCAATCCAAATTAATCTACAAGTAGCGTAAACTCCTCACATAGCTTGCCCTCTTTTGCATCCCCCGATAAGTCCGGTGGTGGTCAAAAGTCACAACACTGAAACAGAGTTCATCGAATCAACTCCGGTGCGGTCGGTGCGACCGCAATTCACTTGAGGCCAAGTCCCTCAATTCGCACTAAGAGAAGATTGCCCAGGCAATGACATAAAGGCTGAAATATTCCAGGGCTGCGACACTCGCATGCGAGGCGGATATTGCGGCCGCCCATACGAGACCCATCACAGTCAAGTCTCCATAGTACGCAAGGCTGGGATAACGGTGTCGAGCCAGGAACCTATCTGAAAGAGCGGGATCCCAGCCGGAAAAGCCTCTTCGCACTCAAGACGTTGAGCGAGCGTCACCCGAATATGGAGATCAAGCTGGGTCATCAGTTTTAAGCCTAATGTTATGCTGATTGAGGGCGTCTGTGTGAAAGGTGTAAATAGAGAACCTTCTGCAAATTGGGTTAACTAAGAAGGAGGGATTTTAGCTATATTGATGTATCAAGTGGTCCTATAAAGATGTTTTGCTAAGTAAAAGGTTAAATATCTCTATAGCCAATACGCAAGGTATAGCTAATAAGGTCTTATATAATAAGAATAATATAATATAATACTTATTTTTTAGTATATTATAATATATAGCGTTATATACTATGCTAAAGAATATAATAACCTTAATATTAAGTCTTAAGGTTATATAGCTGCTGCCTTGAACCTTATGATCCAACTGAACAAGTGGCCTCGATCCACGAGCATAATTGCTAAGTATGATATTGAAAGCTTGCTATTTACCATCATATTATTTCTTTATAATTTCTTTATGTCTTATTTAGCTACCTACGCCTGGCAATATAATGTATTATAGTTTACTAGGCAAGGACTAGAACTTTTAACGCTATATTACCAAAACTACTTTGCATAAGTCAATTCAGGAATTGCCTCATTTTCCTCCATGATTAGTCCTTTAACATCACCCCAAGGCTTTGTGTCCAGGAAAGGCATATCCTGACTTGACAACAGTAGTTGGCCTTCCTGTTCAACCTTGTCAAGTACCTCAGCAACCTGCTGCATAAGCGTTATCTGTCTCTCAAACTCCTTTGCACGAAACTTTCTAGTGCACCTACCAACCGCACCAATGATCCAATCAACAGAGGTCGCCGAGGTCGACAAGTCAACTGACTTGGCCTGTAAGAGAGAACTACATTCATCCAAGCACTCTTTAACCTCCTGTAATTCGCAGTTGACATCGTTTATGTTGGAGATGGTGGCTTCTGCAACACCCTTGAGCGCTGTGATGTCGTTCTCAACCCGGTTAGCCTCTGCGATTTGCTTCTGGTAGAGTTGATGCGTTGATCGACGGGATGAGATATCGCGCTGGTACTGCGAGACTAGGCCTTGCAAGCTGCGCTGCTCAATCTCGAGGTTCGAGATAACCTGCTGATCTTGACTTATCTCTCTATTCAAAGCGGACACCCTGGATTGAAGGGCGACAATCTCGTCCTTTAGATCCGATACACGCACGCCCTTGTAACTATGATGTGTTAGCTTTTTGTCCCATAATCTGCGCATGTTGCTCACCCAGCAAATCCAGCTCCGGCTGCTGCCAGACTCAATGATGCCCCGGCGGTGAAAGGTGCAGCTAAGAGACCAATTCCGGTCAGCATCTATCTTCTAATTAGTCAAAGCTCTTAGACCTGCAATTGCGGGTGCATACCAGTCCTACGCCTGCTGATTCCTTCTTACTCTCACGTCGTCTGTGTGTCTCTGCAATCTGTCCGTTCTTTTGCGATATCTCACGATCAAGCTCTGCTTTCCTAGTCCTCTTCTCATTCGCCTGGCGAGTCTTGATACGAATTTCTTCTTCTTTGGCGCTAGCATCCTTTTGTGTCTGCGCCAGAATTTCTTCACTCAAGGTCAGAGAGCTCTCTGCCTGGCTAGCGAGTCCTTTTGCTCGCGACTGGCATTCATCGAGCAGATCATCCTGGGCCTCGACATCTAGTCTGACGGTCATCACTTGATAAGTGAAGTCCATTGTAGACTGTAGCGCGCTATCTGCTGATGCCTCAGCTTGAGAGATAGAAGAAGTAATGCCATCAAGAGATCGAGCCAACCAAGAAATCTGAGGGGCCATGTTGATGGTGGTTGGATCTGCAACATCTTCAACTAATAATAGGAATGAGCTCATCTGCAATTTAGCATGCTGAGCTTTGCTGAGACTACTCTGAAGAGACGAGCGAATAGCGGCGACCTCTGCAGCGACAGTGTTCTTCGAAGTGACATCAAGAGAACTGAGTCGCTTCTTGGCAGATTGAAGTGAGTCCTGGATATTGGATACGTTATTGGAGAGGCTATCCATTGTTGAAGAAGGGTTGATACTGGGCAAATTGAGGTGCTAATGGGCATGCATATGAGGGAAGTGGACTGAGAAAGCCTGCAAAATCTTGACTTGGACAAAGAGTCTGGCCTAATATAATGGATTATTAGAGCAGATACTCATATGCCGGTTTCAGCGACTCAGTATTTGATAAGGTTTGATTTCAGCTTCGTGTGTATTCATTCCAGTAATTGGCTACTTCTAGGCCACCATCAGCTACATCGTTCTAGGTTCAAGACCGCTTCAACGGTGCAGGCTTCAGTTGTGGCACGAAGGCGCGTGATTTCCGTAGGTGATCGAAGTGTTTATTGGCTACATTGATACGGGTATACGAGTATATTGACTTCCTTGCATAATGAGGCTGAACTTGGCGTTTGAATCAAGTCTCGATGCAAGGCAGACAACATCATGGCAGTGAATGGCTTCACAGTTTCATAGAGGGGTAATCATTCGGTTTGACGTGCGTGTAGGTGATTGGCTAGACATAACGCCCGTGCAGCAACGTCAGCCATGTTGGGTGAGCTACTGCACAGGCGTTTTGTAACCAATCAACTAATACTAAACCCCCCTTGCTTGTGAATTTGAAGCGAACGATCAAGCAAACACCTTTGAAAGAAATCATCTGTACAGTCCGTCACGACACGGGCACTGTGATATTCTTGTTCTTGGTTCAGCTGCATCTGCCAGCTCGCATGCATTAAGGCAACAAGGTTACAGAACAGAAAGTTAGTGAGCCATTAGACGAGACATGTTTCTGCCGGAAGCCATTTAAAGTTGCAGTATACTTGCTATCGTTTGTGGCACTGAATGAACCTCGAGGTACTGGTGACTTTGGCAAGCATTTCTAGAGTGCGCAGTATGTGATATCTCTGATGGCTTGCCTTGATGGGCTGATCTCTTGGCCTAGTCTCAACGCCAGGCTGATATTATGGAGGCCCGAGCGTATGCGAACCGCGCATGAGGCAGATCACCATCCAACAGCCGCATGTCCAAGACCACCTCGCGATAAAAGGTGGCATTGTCTCTTGAAATCATGAACACCATCAATCCGCAGAGCAATCGATTCACTGGAACCATTCTCTCTTCATTCACAAATAATGACTTTTGATCAAGGCCGAAGGGCAGCCAGCGGCTCAGACTATCCGTCTCATCCGGAGGACTTTCGTCAGCCGTCTGCCTTTGGTGTTGGTCAGTCCGACTATGACCATCAAGCCCAGCAGCGAGCTAACTATGCTCTTGCCCTTCAAATGTCATGCCGAGACGTCGTTCAGACCATCAAGGCAAGCGACCTGCTCATGAGCAATGAATGGGCAAAGCCCCTCACGCATGCCCCGAATGCCATCTCCATCATGGCTCTTTGTCTCAAAACGGCTGCTGTGCGTGAGGCTGCCAACATCAAGGTGAGGGACAAGGAGATCACGGATGAGACTGGGAAAGTCATTGGTCTGCTCCCGTAAGTATCCTGTCCGCACTGGGATGAATGGCTAACAGAAGTGAAGATCAGAGTATTTTCGTACAAATCTACAGCACTGTGCGGACATCGGTAGGCTTGCTTTCCTTGACGCGCAGAAACGCATGAACAACCTCCAAAGTGTCGCTCGCAGCATGATTGCGCCTGAGGGCACCATCGCCTACATCATCGATTTACTCAGTGATCTGGAAGACGCCGAGGATAATCTTCCAGGAGCTATGAAGCGACTGGAAACTAACGCTGAGAACTTCAAAGCTGATGCTGAAGCTATCACCAAAAAGTTTGAGTATTGGGAGAGAGTGATTATGCATCTTCTTAAGAACTCGCAAGATGCGGGGTGTACGTGCAGAACGGTATTCAATGATCTTTAATTACTGACAATTACCAGCGGTGACTGAAGAGAAACGAACTCAAAACACAGTCAATGCTGTCATGGCAGACGCAGAGAGACAAGCCAGAGAGAGGGAGGAAGAAGATGCCAAGCAAGCCATCCAAGAGCAACAGAAGTTGCTTCAAATGGCCCGGAGACAGGTTGAGGAAGCCCAGCGAAGACTGAATGCGCTTCTTGATCGGCCACCTATTGAGGAACCATCTGCATGGTCCGATATGATCCATGCGCGGGAGTTCGTCCCAGATCGACCAGCACCAAGTCGTGGTAAGAGCCCATGTCCAACTGCTGTCAATCATATGTTGATAACTCTTCGCAGGAGAAAAGGGCGTATTCTCCAAAGGATGGGGATACTTCTTTGGCTCCAGCGACAGCGAGGTCGCAGCTGAGAACAGGCACAGTAAGGAACATTCTAAGACTATCACGAATGAAAGACAGGCCTATGTAGCCAAAGCAGTAGAGCACCGCGAGATGCAGAGACGAATGGCGCAGGCCCAATTGGACGAAGCGAGAGGGAACGAGTCGAAGCTCTGGGAGGAACTTGACAAACAGACCGAAAAGCTCTCGATCAGTCATCACAGCCTCACGAAAGCTAAGCACGATCTCGCAAAGACACATGCAGAGCTTCAGCGTCTATGCTCCGAGAAGATTGAACTAGTACGTCTTGTCGTCCCTCTCAACTCGCATACTAACAAGAAACAGGAGCAGATCATGAAGATTCTCGAGGAGTCTATGCGCCGCCTAACAGAACTAAAGAAGGAAGTCGAGGAGATGGCATTATTCTTTAGCCGAGTGCAAACCGTCATCACAACGACTGTAAACGAAAACCTGCAGAGTTTCTTAAACCCAATTCAACGTGCGTTGGACAAGGGAGACAGCGTTGACAAGATCCGGGAGAGAAGCAAGCAGAATTTACTCCGAAACGCATTCGAACTTCAGGGACGCTTCTCGGCTACTGCAGACGTGGCTAGCATGTACGTCCTTGTGTCTAATAAGTACATCAGGCCGGGGATCAACAAGATGGAGGCGCTGGCGGCTATGGATGACAATGATTTTGAGCGCGGAAAGGAGGAGTTCAGGGACTGGTGTGACAGTGCGGCGGAGGATATTGTGCGCATCACTGACGGTGAGCAGTCCAAGATGGCGGAGAATTTGACAAGAAATGTTGAAGTTTTAAGTCAGAGGGCTATAACAGGTGCTTTATAGATGATAGTGAAAACGAGTCTCATATAACCATATTTGATTGTCATTGAGGATGCGGCTAAATATTACGAGGGATTCATTCTCATGGAAGAGGCCGAGGTTCTTGTTTCATTCGGTCGTTGATTTGATGGATTAAGCCTTCAAGTCACTTGTTCAATACCTGTTCCATAGGCTGGATGCCACACGTTTAGTTCTGTATTAAGCCAAGTATATAAGGATATCTATTTACGCCCTGTAATTATCTAAACTGTAAATATTCATCAAATCATAATCTGCCCATCCTCCTTTCGCATCTTCTGCAAAGCCTCATCATTAATTCTCCAAACTCCCTTCGTCTCCTGATCATGAAGCTTCCATTTCGTCCCTTGAGCCAACTGATGGAAGGCTCTGTGATCATCACCTGGTAGACTCTGGAACAATAACGGCTCCCATGATTTTCCTTGCGCCTTCTCGTCTCTTCTCTTCTGACGCTGGGCCTCCTCAACCTCGTGCTTCGCATGCGATGCATCCCGATAATTCCCTTGCTCTAGAGCTGAGATGACTTCTCCCCATGCTCTTCTTGACTCTCGGGGGTCTTGTTCTTCCACTGGATCGATATGCATGTCTGCAGATGTCTCTGGGTCGACAGTATATCTCTCCAACAACTTTCCTTTGCCGTCCGTAATCTTCCATCCCTCGCTCCAGACTCCCGATAGCTTGTAGCAATGCTTCTTGGGCTCATCTTTGTGATAGACCATCGCCTCGAAGCAATTTCTCTTGCCTCGGAAAATACCAGCACCGGAAAAGTCGATCTCTGAGACATATCCAGAGCTTGAGACAATTGTATATGTGCCTATGATCTCTGGGTAAAGACATGCTGACAGAAAGCCCCGTACGGTGACGTCTGTTAGAGGAACCAGGTAATCCTCATCAAACTTATCGAGGTGTATTATAGCATGTCCCATTTGCCGAATGTTGATGTTTCCATTAAACGTCATCTCAACTCGCCCATAACCATCCGCTCTTATTCCATCTGCAGAAATATGCATCGCAGTGATCGGCGGATGATGGCTAACCTGCTCAACTACCAACTTGGTGTCACTGTCTCCCTCACTCCAAGAAGCAAGGAAGAGTTCGCCAAGGAAAGCATTAAGAGGTTTCTTGATGCTGATATTTGGAGCACCTGCAACATACAATTGGCTCCGAAGGCCTGCCAGGAACAATTGCAGGACTGAAAGACTTCGTTTCGCTGGATCGAGTTCTTTCGTTGGTGCTGTGAAGAGTAAAGGTTTCTTTGCCCAACTTCCGGGATTCTCGACGACTGAAGATGGTGCTAGGAAGAAAGGCGGAGCTGTAACATTTGCGAGATCTAAATCGCTTTTCAATGATGATAGAAACTAGACTGTTAGCGAGGATCGTGGCTGTTGATTCGGTCCATACCTTGGCGAGGTCGACAAAGCGTCTGCCCATTGACTTGGAGTCATCGTGAATAGTTCTCTGAGTCTTTGAAATCGGTTCCATTTTGATTTGCAATTATTTGGCCACATCTTCTTGAGAGTCTTTCCCTATATAAATACCAAAACTCTCGTCTCATCACATGCTTCAATTGCGTTTCAACACAGCCCCGTCTCACTGGGTCAAACTCGCTACGACGGCGAGTCGGCCGCCAAAGTTTCAATGCCTGTCGCATCAAAATCAGACCAATCAGAGGACCCCCGGAAGCTGAGTTCATCCGAATTTTGAAACGGGAGAATTGATTGCCGTCGGAACCTCGAACTACCGACGACCAGCCTCGAATTGTTCTAGCTTACACGTCATCTTGAATAATCGGGATTGTTTCTAGAATGGGCGGCAGATATGGAAGCCAATGATGGGACTATATCTCAGACCCAATCTGAGCATGCGACGCTGCGTTTGAAGTGCACACGCTGGATTGTTGTCATCTTACGACTATCTGACCTTCACTGGTGATGACTGGAGTTTGGCGATGGCGCCATCATAACGCAATGATAGAATTGAGAACAGTTTTTAAACACTGCAGGCAAGGATCATTAGGTGCACAACAGAAGGACATATGAAATAGATCTTGATCAAGTCCTCGTGGTTCGATTCATGCTTCAGCGCCTCGATCGAGCATTGAAATGAGCATGGACGGATGAAGCAGGGTGGGATCTCTGAACTTCAACAGACCCGAAAATGCCGTATGATCGCGTGGCATTGAACAGTCCATAAGTATAAGATCCCAGGTTTCGAAACGAGAGCTGGCCCCAACCCTTGCTGTCAAATTCGGCTGTTTGGGTCGGGTGAATCTTGATTTTGAGGGCCAACTAAAGGGGAAATAAGCTGATTTTGTGCGATATCAGTCATGGTTCGACTATTCCTCTAGGGCTAAAATGTCCTGGCGGAGTAAACTTGTGAAACATACGAGCGCGGCGAGGAAGAGCCCTCCGCTAGGAGCCCCCGGAGGGATATGACTGATAAGAACGGGGAAGGTGATTTGCTAAACCCCGAATCATTGGTTGTATCGAAAACAGGTCATATCAAAGATGCAAAAGGTAGTGATCGCGGATCAAATCAGATTTCGAACTTCATCGTCCTCCACGAATTAGAACAGAAATCGGGAGAGAATCCTGCTCTCGATATTGTCTTGATCCTAGCGATCCTTAGTTTGCCTCGATGTGCAGTGATCAGTCTCAACTTCTGGTTTGTGCTGGTTGACCCTGAGATTGATTATAGATAAGCTTCAGCCACAAAACTCAGCCCTCCACGTTGACATCATTCAACGTCTCAACAGTTTTGAGGCAGTTAGTTATTATCAAAACTGGTCTACCGGACTTGAAAATGTCCGCACACCGACTTTGCTTGTCACGAATCTAGCTGCTACAGTACGTTCTGGTGTATTTGCAGGCAGAGACAGAGCTGCAGATCATCTCCACCATGGGCCTTAGCATGAGTGGCAGCTGTACGAGACCGACTTATGGGCCTAATTTTACTGTGTCTCTTCACGCTTCTCTGCCAATTGTGTGGAGATCAATGGAGTCTTTGTTAACGTCATTCTTCATCGTCAAAGTGGAATGAAGCGGCAATCCCCAAACAGAGTTCCGGATAGTGATGCCTCCGAAGTCTCAACGGCAATTCAAACTCAAATCCGAATTCAAGGTTTCGGCACTAGTGCTCGGCGTAGTTGTCGATATCACCACCCCAATTGCCTGCCGTCAAAGGCGCGGCTCAATTGCATTAGTCCATCTACCTGTCGGGGGTTCTTTATAGTGACCAATCGGCTCCAATCGTATCTACGAACTCTTATCCGACACTCAGACAGTAATCCAATCAATCAGCATTGACAGCGACTCAATATGTCTCTTAGTAAATGCCTTTTGTCAGTATTCCTTGGCTCAATCGTTGTGAATCTCATGGCATTCCCCAACCTTGTTGGCAGATCACTGGGGTATTCCAGTTCTATCCCCACAGCCAAGCCACGCTGGACCCTCAAATTGCTTCATCCATCAAATAGTGAAGATCATGGTTCAGTTGAGTACCCGCGGGTACGCCCTTGGCGAGTGCTCCTTCCTCGATGTTTCCCTGATTTAAGCTTAGAACAAGGTTGGCCAATGATCAATTGGAAACATCCAGATCTGGACATGTTTCCCAATCCAGTAATCCCTGCGTAGCCATACGGACTACGGTGACGCTGGCTCACGCGTTGTATCACGTCGAGATCCTGCTTATCGTTACAGATACGCGACTTTACAGCTGCGCCGAGTTTGTGCAATCATACGTCAGCATCACTGCGGTTTGTAACCTCTCCGTGGATTAGGCTGTAGCCTCCACGCAAATCATGCTAACCTCCACGTAAATCGTCCTAGCCTCCACAGTGTAGATCTGTAACAAGACATCGTGTATCGGAGCTTTTAAGACAATGACGTGCGTCGTTAACTCAGATAAGCTTAATCAGTTCCCTTTATCAATGTCTCATACGCGTCAATGAGTCAAGCAGCTCTCCTACTCAGCCACGGTCACTAAAAAAGATCGACACTGCTGACTCGTCACAGCGACGACGATCCTGATAAGCACGCCAAGTCCAAATTCACATACCGTATCACCAACCGTTAGTTACACAATTGATAAGGTTGGTTTTACGCTTATTATCCACGAGGACATGAAACTGCAGGAAGCCTCATGTTTCCATTTCGGACTCCGATTACGCGGCACGTTGTACATGTAGGTAGTCTGAAATCCGTTGAACGCTTGGCGATAACTGCGATTGCAAGATGAGACAGAAGATGCCAAGATGTAAAGAGAATGGTGTGAACAGAATCGAGTGCCAAGATGCAAACAGAATGAGGAGGCTCTAGAGACCTGGAGTGTAGATCAAAGTGCCGATCATTCAGTCAACCACTCACGGAATGACATTTTAAGGCTAGTAGATCTAGATAGCTGAATTCAGATTCCCCTGTGGCGGTCAAGTGCCGTGGTCCACACTTGCGGGCGGGAAAGGCTTACTTGGCCAGATGGGTAAATCAAGGAAATGTATGTGACACAAAACATGACAAAGATTGCACAATGTTTCACAGACAATTCCTCCTTCACATGTGAAAATTTGCAAAAAAGCAATACATACGCAAGGGTGATGAATAGTTTAATTACAAGGCTCAACCGAACGGTTGGGTTGTTATCAGGCTGTTATATGGCAGGGATCTAAAACCCCAGACTTGGACACAGACATGTTCCGAAGGGCCTCCCCTCAAGATTACGGCTCCGGAGTCATGACGGGAGACAAGCCCCGGCTTGGCACGGGACGAGGTATCCACTCAATAAGCGTACTCACAGCCTCAATGACCCGTTGTAATATCGCCTGTCCTTGGCAAACAAGCCAGCACCATATCACAAACAAGCAAAAAAGAATGTCGCAAGCTAAGCTCAGCAGGGAGGGCCTTGTAGATAGGTGCCCGATCTCATCTGCGACACAGATACAGATGCAAACGGTCCAATCAGAGACACCAACCGGCCTCGTGTCTAAGCCCGAATGTTTCCCAACTTCCCCTATTCAGGCCAAGACGGGATCTCACTGACAGAGGCTCAACAAGGGATCGCCGTTCTTGGGATAGCTTGGCAAGGAACACCAAGAAGGGAATTGCGCGTCACGTCTGAGGAGATTCAGAGATAGCGGGTCTGTACTCCATATCACAGAGGTATGGCTTGGAGTGATTCAGGGCTGTGCACAAGTATAAGGATGTCTCGTTCCTCCGGTTTTCATAAGATTTTATCATTTCATCTCTACAAACAAGATGGACTCATTATTTCGACGACAAGATCCTGACCCCGAGCTGTGTGTGAAGTATGCTCACTTTGCTTCTCACATGGTGCGATGGCAGTTCAAGATCATCTACTGGACCATGTTTGTGTCCAACTTGTTGGTCTTGTTTGTTGCTTCGTGGACATATATCCGGTGAGTTTGACGTTGAAATGATTTTAATATTGATCTAACAAGAATAGTGGCCAAGCAGCTATGGAGAAGCTAGCTCATAATCCCAAAGCACGAACGAAGCGAATACGGCAGTCGGTCGCCATGTGTCTTGGATGTGTGTCTGTCTCAACCGTCATTGTCGTCATGGAAGCGTACTCCATTCTAGCGCTTCAGTTTTGTGACGGTGAAGACCTCATCTCACTCTACTGGTCTACCTGGACCATGATCCAAGTCGGTTCATTGATTGCCATGATTGGCATCATTCTTGCATTGGCACATACCCTTCGTGGAAGACAGCATCCGTAAGTCTCGTCTATCATGCACACTCGTCTCATGTTACACTCAGTCGCTGACGGTTCAGACCATGGGCACTTGCATTAGGTACACCCGTTCTTGTGATTGCTGGATTTCTTCATCTATTCCACGATTGCACAAAGAAGCGAATTCGAAGCCGTCGCCAGAAGAAGGATTTTGAATTTGGGCCTCCAATGAGTCAAGCGTGAGTACTCCGCGCCGTTACTCAGAATGTTTCTAACACAAACAGTAACACAATTTCGGTCAACCCCGATGAAGAAGAGGACATTGAATATAAGGCACAAGTAATTGGGCTTACATTCGATGGTGGTCCCATCATTAGATACACAGATGCTGTGCCAGAAACCTTGCCAGAGCACGCTGAGCTCTTGGGATACTGCGCAAAGAGCAAGCCTATCGTCATGTGCAAGCGTAACAGTGTTCAATTTCTGATGGACTCTCCCGCACAAGTACCACCATCAGCATCACCGGCTTTCCGCAAGGGTAACTGAGACAAACTGTTTCGCACCTTGCAAAGCTGAGGCCATCCAACGGCCGACAGGGGACGAGATAAGAATTTTGAGCGTCAAAGCACGCCAAGACAAGGGAGATGCGCTTTGACTTTATGCGCTGTTGTTGTTGTCGCCTGAACTAGCAGGCATTATTCTTGGGTTCATGTATTTGGGTTTGCTTGGGAGTTTTGCTATAGATATGGGATAATGGCGGTGGACATTAACGGAAAAGGAGGAATGGGATGGGC